CTAAACGTCTTTGTTTTTCCACAGAATGTACTTTTTGGCCAATTTGTTGCAATATAACATTTTCTTAGAACTACTGTTTTGCAGAGTTGTCTTCTTTTAGWATATTTTAAATTCTAATTTCATACTTTTGGAGACCAAACTCCTGCAAGAAGCCCAAATAATTTCAAGATTTGCTATGGAAAAGGAGCCAGCTCTTTATTTTTGTCTTCTGGGGAAGTTTACGGTAGAGCAAGATAAACACCCAAAATAGTTAAGGTTGTTTATCCTGCATCACTTAGAAGACATCACTTGTATACAACTGTGCAGGGGAGCTGCTCAATCAGYGCTGACAGAAATTAAGCACAGCCTACCCTGCCTTGGGGCATACAGACTTTCCTTGCTGCACTGAGATATAATCTGCTTCTGTTGGGATGAAACTTGAACTGCTCATACGGCACCTCCTGGAGAGCACATGGCTATTCCTTCCTTTTTTTTTTTTTCCCTCCCAGAGATACAGTTGTCATCTCAGGACATTTTACCTCACCCTTACATATGCCTGTGGTATTTGGGAGCTAGCAAAGRGGGTGCATATTGCAGAAGGATCTGGTGCCCTGCTTGTCTGTGGTAATGGCTTTTCTGCAGGTCCCAAGTCTGGGTGCATTAGACTTGCTGAGCAGGGACCCYGACAAGTAATTTGAGACAACACAGAAACTTCAGAAATTCTCCCTGTTCTTTTTTGACTCTACAGAATCTGTGCTCACCCTCTGACAGCAGGAGGAGGGAGACGTGCTGAACAAGCAGCAGAAAGGCATTTCCCTGAAACAACAGAAACTGCCCTGACTTTTATTTGWCTATCAGATGAAATAGGAAGGGGTGCTGACTGCATCAATCAGGGGTGCTGAGGTCTGTTTTGTCTTTACCTACATAGTATGCTCATAGCTTTGGTAACACACATATCTTTCTTTGAGTGAATATTAATTGAAAAGATATTTATTCCCTGTATAAACAGCTCAAGGGGCTCCTTATAAGATGCCCCAAACTCCTTCTGCAGGCACAAAGGCTGTGAACGTGCCTTTTCTTTACTCTGATCCTGATCTCACGTACTTTTATAAGTCCATTTATTTATATAGGCTTAAGCTGTTCATTGCAGAGGAAATACTTGTGATTTACAGTGCAGGATGAGTTCTATGCTCATAGATAAGTTAGTAACAAACGGACTGAGGAATTCACTAACCCTCATGCTTTAGTCAAAAGAAAGCTTGAGTGTGACTCACTGAGGAATGCTTTGTACTCCCCTAATTGCATAATAACCTTAGAGGGCTTACTGGCCATTTGGCACAGGGGTCATTCCTGTTTCCTCTGAGTGCAGGGAGCTCTAGCTTCTCACTGGATGCACGTCAGACAAAAGGAGATGTGAGGAAGACGTATGTAGCCCCATGTTTCCTCTGTACCCTATAGGAGCAGTACTTGAACACAGCTACCAAGTCCCTCCTTCTCAGAAGGGTCACTAGAAAAGCTGACCATCACTAAACTTTAACCTGTTGTGCCAGCATATTGTCTGTATTGAGAGGTATAATGTGATATTCTGGGTTCTGGTATTTGTGACTTCTGAATTCTAATAAATGTGGCAAAAAGTAGGGGAGAGGCTACAAGCATARAACCTTCCTTGTTGCTTTCAGTAAGACTAACTGCTAAGGAAAGGAAAAAACAAAGATCTCCTCAATATCTTGTTCTCACAACCAATAAGTAAAAAAGTTACGAATTATATAAATAACATATAAAGTAGCAGGGATGTAAAACATAATAAGCAAAGTGAAGAGTCCTAATGTCCTGTGAGAAAAAAACAGAAAATGAACTTCTTGGTTGCATTGTGCAACAGTGTGAGAGTTAAAGGAAGACTTGTCTACAGAATTCTCCTGGCCCTCTAGCAATCTCAGCACTGAATCTTTCGGCACTGACCCCATGTGTGCAACTGGTAAGGCAAGTAAGTCTGTAGATGGAACAGAAAGAGCAAGATAGAAGTGAATAGTAAAGATGACTAGGGAGGAGATACTTAAGTATAGCTATCCTAAATCCACTTAATATTCTTTTATTCTGGAGAATGACAGGAATTTGTGATTCCTTTTCATAATTTTTAGTGTTAAGAATATATGTTAGGAATATCTTTATGCTACCCAGCAATGCAAAATCCGTAAGCCACTTTGGAATCCAGAATCTTCCCTTTGCTGATTACCAACTGTATTAGGATGGAGTCAAGCTTTCATCCAGCCCTCTCAATCTTCTTTGCATCTATGCATTTAATGTCCTTGCCTTCACAGTGGCCTCTCTTAMATCTGAAGCATTTAAAGCTCTTCTTCCCTCATTCCCCTTACAGTGCCACTGCTCACTGTTACCCAGCCTATAGCCAGGAGGTTATGACAGTCWCCCACACTGAGTTCACTGCTCTGTTGGTGGCTGTGTTTGGTGCTGATGTCAAAGCTGTCCGAGTATGTTTTAGTTGTGGGTATAGGATGCCTGTCTTCTTGGCCCTTCAGGGAGTGTGGACATGAATCCAACTGGTCTCGTACAAGAAACAAGTGCTGAAAATTCAGGCCAGAGAGACAATCCTGAGCAAGAAACAGAACTCTAAATACCTGCATAACTTGACTAGTGCAAACTTTGCTGTTCATCTACTTACCCACTGTTTTCATGGGTTGATGAGATTTCTTCTCACCTAAATCTTTTTTTTTTTTTTTTTTTTTTTTTTTAATAGAGCTTTTCTAATTGTGGAAACAGAGCATTTTAATAAAACCTGAAATGGCTGATGGCTTCTCATTTTCTCTGAGAAACCTCTGCTTAGAAGGTTCCCTAGGTGAAAGTGTCTGCAAGAAAAAACATGGCTGTGAAAGACTCCTRTCCAAGCCTGGCATGGGAAGCAGAATTGTTCTGATATCAGTGGAGCATTTGAAGCAAGAAGAAAGGAGGTTATAGTAGGAAAGAATGGGATTCTTAAGCTGGTGGGTAGCTGAGCAATACTTTACTAAGCCAAATGCTAACATCCAGGACTGATTCTCTTCTCACAGATTTGTATTTGACTGACTTCATTAGAACTAACAATAACCTAAACCCAGAGACCTCAGAGGAAAGTCAGGCTCTGGGCAGTATGTGCCACCTTTGTGTCATACCTCTTCAAATTGTTGAGTCAAGGAATCAGAATACTGTAGGACTCAAGGGACACCAGACAGAGTCTACTGCAAAGCTTCCTGCATTAGCATGGTGGCAGTGGAAGCTGTGTAGAACATGCAGTCTAGGAAAGAGTTCTTAGAAGATGAAGTAGAGATTAAGCTACAGCCTCTTTTACCATTTGCTGAAATATTCAGTGCATTTGCCTTCATGGATTCTGCATTCCAGAGGACTGCATGCTGAGTTAATAAAATCCTTCTGCTGAACAAGCTTTGGAAACTCAGMTAGTTACTGACTGCCCATGTGGCAGAGTTTGGCCATTGCTGTTGAACAACTGCAGGAAGTTAAGGACAAGAAAGGGGAGACAGCACCAAAGGGATGCACAGATTCCCAGGGAGACACATGGCTTGGTCTCATGGTAGGAGTGTCCAAAGTATGTTCCTCATTGAAATGCCAGGATCCTCTTTAATTTTTTTTCTTTCAGGAACTGCAATTTGCACTTCTGCTTTTCTTAGGTGATGTGATTTAGCTTACATTCTAGCCTCATACATTGTCGGCTTMAGTTGCAAGACCATTTTAAAACAATTAGGACACCTACAAGAAAAATAGCAAAACACCAACTTTCCATTGATTACAGACATAAAAGGAGATTCAGTTTTAACATTCTTCCTCAAGGAAGAAATGACATATTCCCTAGTAAGCCAATGCCAAACCACTACTCTCTGTTTTGAGTAACAAATCCCATTCTTACTGTGTCTAAAACCCCAGACTGTGTATTTCTTTTCTGAACATGAAATTGTGTATTTTGGTACTGCTCTCAAAGAAGAGTTTAGCAGAACAAAGGAGTTATCTTTATGAGGCAGCCAGGGAAATACACAAAGAACAGGAAGATGCAGCTAACCTAAATAATGACACTGAAAATAAAATAACCGTTGGCCTATAAATAAACAACATGAAGTAAATATCATTATATTTATTAACAGGAGTCATGGACTTAATTTGTACTTAATTCTTATTTTATCAAATTATGGTTCTCACTTTTTTTTTTTCAGTCAAGCCACAGAATAATATTTTCTAGTTTCTCCATCTTTTTACATTTTTTTAAAATAATATGAATAGTATGAATGTGTGTTTAGGAGAAAGGTCAGATTCCTAAAACAATAAAATTACTCAAACTGCTGTTTTTGAATTGTACAAATATATGAAGTCTTGCAGAGCAGGGAAGTAAACATACACACAACTGTATTAATTAAGACAATGCTTAATTTCCTGCAACACAAAGGAATTTTCATATTTAGACTAAGTCTTTAAGGAGACAGTCTCCCATTGTGTGTGTGGGGGTGTGCAAAACAGCAACTGCARTTTCGCAGAAAAGCCAGAGCTCTTTTTTGACCTGGGGGTGAATGGGGAAGGAACTGAAATACATATCTAAAACAAAACCAGAATCCACTCTCTGAAAATTAGTTTCATTCACTTTAGCCTTTTCAGTTTCAGGAACAAAATCTTGAAGAACCTGAGCCAAAGCCTGATTCACATTTTTATTTTCCTAGGTCTTGTGTTGAGAACACAAGGTAGGAAGCTAGCATGATCTGTTGACTTATAAGATTTTAAATAAGCACTTGAATTTTCCACTCCTAATCACCAGCAGCAGCGGGTGAATCACTTCCCTGATGGAGGCAGAGAACGTGCAAGAGCAAAGTGCTTACGAGGCAGCCGAGTGACCAGAAAATGCTTTCAAACTGCCCCACAGAGAGCAGAACACATGGAGTAATGAAAATAATAATAATAAAGAAGCAACCCACAAGGAACCCAGGCAAAACAGGAGGGCATGTTACCGGTTACGAGCCCTGAGGCTTTACCTGCTGCTGGGCGAGTGGCTGGAGGGCACCTCCTCCCCGAAGCTCTGCTCCACGCTGGGCATCCTAGCGGGGCGGTGTGGATGATAGGCGGTGAGGACCACGCTGCCCGAGTCCTTCATCTCCATGCTCACCGACACATGTCTCCGTTCCCAGCCGGCGGGCGCAGGGACGGCGCTGTGGACGGGTAGCGCCCGCGCGCCGTCACCAAAGTGGGCGCATGGCCTTGCTCCGTGGCGGCCGCCCGGGTGCTGTCAGGAGAGCCGTGTGACTCCAGCGGCTCCCCGGCAGGAAAGCCGAATTAGCATGTATTCAAAAACGCCGCCCACAAAACAGCCCGTGGGGAAGTTCCTAGGAAACTGGAAACCTGAGATAATCCAGTGTGGCATGGAGCTACCGCAGGGGAAAACTTCTCGCTCTGCTTCTTCTTGTATTTCTTTTTTTTTTTTTTTTAACTGGATGATTCCTTAGTATTCCTGGTGCTCCTAAATTCGGCACCGCTAAGTTATTTGTCAGGTAAGCAGCGGGACGTTACTCAAATACAAAATGTGGTTTGGCAGGGCAGGGAATGACATTTATAGTGCTTGCAGGACAGATCTAGAAACCAAGTGGGCTGAGCTCTGTTTAAATAATCAAGAAAACAGTAACCTTGATTTCCTGCATGCCAGATCATTTCTGTGGCAAAAGAGTGCATTTGCTTTCCTCTGAAAACTTTTAGCCAACATTGCTGTGTTTGTAATGAGAAGGGCACTGGGAAAAGAGCAAAATCTTTGCACGACACTGTGGGTGGCCTTGGGACCACTCCATCAGCAAATATGCTCCAAAATGTTTGATATTTTTATATGTTTACACATGATTTTTTTGTACGATAACTATGTGTTTTCACTCCAAAGAAATAAACAAGCAAACAAATCCAGGTCCAGTTTGAGAGTAGTGGCCAGAGAAAATTCTGCAGACAGAAAGAGAAAACTTGCAGTCTTTCCTTTTCCCCTCCTGCTTCTTTAGTGCGACCGTTTCTTTTTTTTTGAAAATAAATGTTGCTCATAAATGACTCTTCCGAAGAGGTGTTGTCCTGCATATGAACCAATGATCGGATGCCCCTTTTTCTTACCCAGTGACTCCACAAACTGCTTTTCAGGAGGTTCTCTGAGTACCTGGTGACCCAGCAGATGAAATACCAGCCTCTGTGGTTATTTTTCGCAGTGCTCCCAGCACAGGTACAGTGTAAAACACCTGTTAGGGTCTGCTTTGATACTCTCTCTATAGAAGGTGCTCTTCCTAGCACTTCTATACGGCTGCCTAACTTATACAGTAAGGCCAGGCTTGAAGGACCCAAAAATGATACAGAACAGCTGATCTCCACCATCCTCCTGAACCGTGTGTCCTGCCCACAGGGGCATGGCTGTTTCAGTCAAATATGTTGCTGCGACTCATGTAGGCAGTGCCTGGAGTTAATTTTAAATCAGCCAGCATAGGACACTGATAACAGTGCTACTTGGCAGCACCTCTTGCTGTACTCACCCAGGAAGCATAAATATTTGAACATGCAGATTCTCTAGTCTTGCTCTTGCTGCACTGTTAACATGTCCTGGATTAAATATTTTAAAGGCAGGTTGCACACCCTAAAACTGTGATTGCTTCTCTTGCAGAGCGGAGGCCCTCCTGGAGTCGCCATGTAGACATGCAAATATACTGGAAATACAGAAGAAAGCTCTGAGCAAACTCAGGAAGCTTTTCCAAAGTTAGTGCCATTAGGATCATATGCTGAGGTGTTATTGATGAAAACTGTGGCAAGTGCAAGTATCAGTGAGGACCTCATTGTGCTCTGGGATTACTGAGCTACTAAGAAGAGGGAGAGGGTCCAAAAGATTAGGGTAGACACCTTCCTGAACCTCACATGCAAGCTCTGGAGAACTGACTGGCCACTGATATGGTGCTGGCTGTCCAAAGATGCAGCCAACATCATTGTATTTTTCTCCTTGGCTTCAAGTTCCCTTCCTGGATGAGAAGGTGGGAACTCCACCTCTTCAACCCAAGGTTGGGGGATTTGCTTACCAACATCTTTTTAAAGGCATTCTCTATAGTKTAGGAAACTAAACATGTGAGGGAACACTATAGTAGGAAACAAGAAGCACCATCAGGAATGGAGTAGACATCTTCAAGGATATTAGACTAAGACCAAGTAATGACTCAATTCCAGAAAAATCCATTTTCTCTCTCCTTCCTTGCTTTACAGCTTCCTGGCTTTTTTTACAGCTTTCCTTGCTTTTATTTTCTTCAGTAACAACAGACAGCAGGATGCTTATGTGCTTTAGGCTATGTATAGGTAAAAAACCCACAAGAATTGCCATATATTTTTGGTATCRTTTCTATTTCCTTTCTTCCCATAATAATAATAAAAAAATTCAATACAACTTAGAAAAAAATACAACTACTCTCTCAATTGTAAAATGCATAAAAAAGGAGCTTCACATTTATTAAATGGAATTTTCTCTGTAAGAAAGATAAATATGAAAGAATTTATTTGGAGATTTATAAAGTGCTGGTGCACAAACTGGATGCTGGAATGGAAATGTCACATGGCCTGGCATAAGTACAAATGAGAGCTAAAAATGTTTATGGGCATAATGGCTCTTGGGGTTAGATGAATGCCCATTATTGAAAACACTAAAAATGATGATAAATCAACTAGAGAGGCACATCAGCCATTAAATGCAGTTTAACTGGACTAGTAAAACTTCCCTAAGAAAAGTGTACAAAGCAAAGCAGGGCAGCTTCCTCCTTTGCATGCATCAACATAGTTCTGTTAGTTAAAGGGAAATTTATTTTCCTGATTTCTAAAAAGGCAAATGGGGGAATATTTTAGTCCAACAAACTTGTGYTTTTACAGGATCCACTTTAATACAGTACAATGCTCTTAATTGCTTGTCAGGTGGTTAATATCTTTCCTAATATCCTAATTCCTAATATCCTAATTTTCCTGGTATTCCTATTCCTAATATTCCTCCTAATATCTTTCAAAATACTATGGAAGCCCCAGTACACTGGGTTTGAAKGGGCCACATCAGACTGTAGGAGGTAAGGGAGGGCCTGGGTCTTTCAAATTTTATCTTGTGTCTAGGCCAGAGTAAGAACTTTGCGCTTTCAAAAGTCTGGCAGAATACATAGATTAGTGGGCTCAGTTTTTGAGAACCYGGTCTGAAAACATGGGCTAAGGACCAATTTCTGTATTTTCACAGCCTTCCCTCAATGRGAATATAGTTGTAAGAGCAAGGCTGCAGCTTTTCTGAAGGAAGAGTCTCGATGACAGTACGATTCAAGAAATATAGACATGCAGAAAGTCCTAGCTTACTGGGATGAAGAAAGAATAGCTGTTGTTGCTAAAAATATTAATATATTTTGAAATAATTTTAATTAATAATCTTCTTTGCAGTAGGTTGATGGGCAGGCTAAAACCTTGCTCTGTTTGTGGCAAATTAAAAGGTTACTGCCTTGAAAGAAATGAGAAAAGATATAACGTAAATTTAAAGCAGTCTTTTCTGGGTGAACTCTAAGAGGGGTTGTCACTGATGGAAGGTAAATTGTCAGCTCAGGGTGCTTGTCTTGAGACAGCAAATGCATGTGCATTTCCACAGAATGCAGAAAAGACAAAAATCCCCTTTGAACTACAAATCACAGAAAAATCTCCTGGTATTGAATTTCATTGCTAGCCTCTGGCTTAAATCAGCCAGGATTAAATTGGACAGACTGCATGTAAAACTTTGAAGTTAATTTTGGACCAGTTTAATGTGAAGTTGGGTTGGATTAAGCTTTAAAGGGAAAAAAATGTCTAAAGTAGTATTTTTCACCAATTAAATCAAAGGAAATATAYAGTGGAACAGTGCACACAAAAAATGCATCCTGGCATGTAGACTTCACCATCCTTCTTGTTTAGGCAGTAGAATGCAATGAATTTTTCATCTGGATAAAATAAAGAAAACTCAAAACCGATGTATTTCTCCATGCTTTGGAGGTCAGGGAAGATCTGTCTTACTTGCTTCTGATTTGATTTTTGCATGAAAAGATGTCTGGGAGAAGAGCTATAGAGACACATCAACCCAAAATTCTGATGCATGCAGTGAGCAACAAGTGCCAAGAAAGTCCTCAGGTCTCTGGTAAAGATGAGGTTGGTGGTATGTAAGTCTTCTACTGCTCAGCACCAATATTTCACAGGTCACTAAACTAAAAATTATTTTGAATARGTTAATGCTGAATTTAAATTCTGTGCTTTCTATTCTTGCATTGCTGTAGTGGCTATGGCCTTTTCTACTTGCTAAACAGGTGAGGTGTCTGTGCAGGTAGCTGGAGACTTKAGTGAGTAAGTATGTAAGAATGCCAGTAGTATCTCAAAATACCCACTGCTTTTACTACGTWAAAAATTTCAGAAGTAAAAAAAAAATCTGCTTTGTTCTCCTTTCCAAGACTTTTCAGACAGAGATTAAAAGCAACATTGAGGAAAAGCTCGCTTGTTCTTTACAAACGCTTTAAGTGGCCAAGGTATTTAGGTGAAGAATTTAGAAATCAGATTTCAGGGCCATTGGTAATGTTTCAAAAAGTTTCCACTAGAATCTGAAATTTAAAGCTCTATCTTTGCGAAATATCACATTTTTGAGTCAAAGGCTCAACTTCAAAATTAAACACTCTACTTCAATGAACTTTAAATGAGCATTTTTTATTTAGTAAATAGCTTTACTATGATTCCTTTGTCTTAAGCACACAAAAGCATAGAAAAAAATATTGAGTACTTTGCAAAGCTACTTGATTACTAACAGCAACATTTATTTTCTAGGAGTTTTAAAGTTCCAGATTAGACTACTCATATATTTCTCCCAGGTTAACTATGTACAGAAAAGGAAAATTCCTTAAACTGTCTGTCACCCATAGCAGGGTTTGCTGGAGGCTTACTTTAGGAGAAAGCTCATATCCTTTCATTCATTTGTTAGGCCCACCCTCTTTGTGCAATGTTGATCTAACCACTTCAGCTGGGACAGCTGACATCCACAGCTGAATGCTGTGGTCTGTTGGTTTTTTTATTCTGAGGCAAGTTAAAATTACACCAAGAACTGGTAAACTGGTCAAGTTAGAAAGAGTAGCACTGGG